TGCAGTCTTTGGGGTCCAGCAGAACTGAGGATGGACCCCAGCTCCACCCCCGCTGCTGTGTAGCTAAAAATTGGGCATAATCTATCTTGCGTCCTTGATTCCAGGAGCCGAGCTTTGGGTGCCCAGCACAGTATTTAGTACATGATAGGTGCCCCCTGAAATGGCAACTCCATTAAACAGAGAAGTGGGGCTCCCCTGGCCCCAGTCTCACTCAGACCAAAAGTCCCCTGCCAAGTCTAGCTGGTCCCCTAATTTGTGTGAAGAATACAAAATATGTATAAGTAGCATTCACTCTGGGCCAGGCACTTATTAAAGTTTTTAGTCTCTCTTAACTCATTTTATCTTCACAAGAAACCCATAAGGTGGGCACTTTTACTATCCCTGTTTTAGAGATGAAGAAACTGAGGCCCAGAAAGATGCTGCGACTTGCCGAAGTTCACACAGCCGGGACATGGCTGAGCTGGGATTTGAACCCAAATTGACCAGGAGAAGGAGTAGAAGTTTAATCTAGGGGCCCCAGGAACCAGCGGGGCCACGTCTGGGTGTGGAAGCCAGGGAATAGTGCTGGTGAGGGGCTGAGTCTCCAAGTGGCACCAGCAACGTGCAAATCCCAGGAGCGGGGCTCATGGTGGAGGTCTCAGCCCAGGCAAGGGAATAGCACCGGGCTGTCTTGGCTTCTCTTCTGTGGTTCCCACCCCCTTGCGGGTGGACATAGCTGGGAGATGGGGATGTTTGTTTCCCTACCACCCACCCCCTGGTGATGTCATACCTCGGCAGCCAATGGCTGGCGTCTCCCCCTCCTCCCCCTCCCCATTCCTTTTCCCCCCCAGCTTGGGGCTGGGGCTGAGCAGACGGACCAGGAGCTCTTGAGGTGTCTGGAGGCCCAGTGGTAAGAGACCGGCCCGCCAGTTCTCTTCCTGGCCAGGCTGAGAAGCCCTGGGAATGAGACCCAGGATCTTGGGAGGTGCTGGGAGGGTGTCTAGGGCCCAGGAGGCTGCGTGGTATAGGAGTTAAAGGTACAGACCTTGGAACCAGACCCTGGGTTCAAATCCCAATGTTCTCTTCTTTCTAGCTGTGTCGTCTTGGGCAAGATATTTCATTCTTTGTGCCTCTGCTTTCCCATCTCTAAAATGGGCTGAGGGAGGCTACCTCCCAGGGCTGACATGAGAGTAAATGCATTGCTGCTTATAAAGAGCTGGGGCAGGATGCTGAGGGTGGGACAGGCTTTTTTGTCCCTGTAATAGAGTGCTGGGGAGGCAAGGCTGATCTTGTTGGTTGGAGGCTGGTGCCCTAGCTGCATTTTGTCCCTCACCCAAAGCTCCTCTTTGGTAGGGGAGAAAGTGGGGCCACTGTGAGCAAAGGCTGGATATGAGACACTTTGAGATGCACAGACACACTTGCTGTCAGAGACTAGTTTATGTTCCTTGAGCACTTACTATATTCTCTGAATATTCTAAGCACCTGCTGTTGTCTCACAAAGCCATGGAGTCTTATCGGCTCCATTTTATAGATGAAGAAACTGAGGCCCTGAGAGGTGAAATACCTTGCCCAAGTATTCAAACCTGAGGAGTGCTGGAGCAGGCCCTAACGGAGGCAGCTGGAAGCCACTGCCAGAATGCCTCTCCCCACCACATCACTAGATGGCCTCAGACAATGCCTAGGGGCCCGGATGAGTCAGGTCTACCCCCCACTCCCATTGCAAGGGCACCAGATCCCTCTGGTGGTTGGGGTGGCTGAGGCTCTGAGAGGGGAGAATTCCTAAACGAGGTTGGTGCCAGCCATGGTGGGGGGAGGAATGTACAGTGAGGCAGATCTGGGGGATTCCTCAGCAGGCCCAGCTCGGCTGAGGGGCCCAGGGTACAAATGACAGCCCCTCACCCCAGCCACCCTGAAGGGCATGAGTGACATCTTAAATGGGCATCTAAGTTGTGATTTCCCCAGGGAGGTGTTTTCAGGAGTTAATGAGCCCAGGCAGGGAAGGATCTTTGCACATAGTAAGTGCTCAAGAAATGGAGACTCTCAGAATTCTGGAAGCTCAGGAATGTACTAGGGCAGCTCACAGGAATTGCTCAAGAAGTGGGCTGTTGGCCTGTGGAGGGTCTTGCCTGGCCTTGATTCTCCAGGGAGTCTCCATTAGATCTTCCCCTAACACAAGTCATCCCCCCTAACCCCACCTCCCTACCCCTCCTTCCCCTGCCTAGTGGGACAGGCAGATCTGGGAACAGAGAGTGCCCAGGGTTGGGCCCTTCCAAAGCTGCTTCCTTCCGAAGCTGCTCCCACCCCATCCCACCCCAGGAGCTGGGTACGTGGCTCAGGAAGGGCACAGCTGGGCTAAATATAACCTGGGCTGGGCAGCTGTCCTGGGCAGGGATGAAGAAGCAGGGCACTCTCTCTTGCCCTCACCCTGGCTGAGCTTCCTGTGCCAGCCTCTGGGTGTGAACTTCTCTGGCCTGTCCTGGAGCAGGGAGCTTGCAGCCTAGGGGATCCTCCCCTCCATCTCCACCACCTCCTACAAGCAGCAGGCTTCTCTCACCCCCAGCTCAGGATATTATGTTGTATCGGGGAGTCAGAGTTAGCATTTCAGACCTGGGTTCAAGTCCCAACTCCCTCACAGTGATATCCTGGCTCTATTTTTTTTTTTTTTTTTTTGGCCAGGCCATGCGGCATGTGGGATCTTAGTTCCCTGATGAGGGATCGAACCTGGGCCCCCTGCAGTGGAAGCACGGAGTCCTAATCTCTGGACCGCCAGGGAATTCCCCGTGATATCCCGTTTCTTAACCCTCATTTACTCATCAGTAAAATGGGGTACCATGAGGCCATGTCTATAAAGTGTCTGCCTGGCTCAGGGTTGGCACCGAGGTCCCTCTAAAAATGCCTGTTCCTGGCACCCTTGATCCCCTCTGCCCAGCCCAACTCCTGCCTCAGCTGTTTTGCTGCTTGGGCCTCCTCCAGTGCTCAGAGCCACCAACACAAGTGAAGGTGCAGAGTTGGGGTCAAGGGCACAGGTCCTAGCTGTGTGACCCCAGACAGGTCACTTCCCCTCTCTGAGCCTCAGTTTTCAACCCTAAAATAGCCATCACATCCAGAGTGATTTCGAGGCCTAAGGGTGCCAGCATAAGGCCCAGTTCAGAGGAAATAATCCAGATGTGGGAGCCAACCACTACTTGGAGGGGCTGGGGGCTCACAGGGGAGGCCAGGACCCCTAGAAGAGCCAGAGAGGAGCCTTCTGACACCGTGGGGGGGGCAACCAGTGAAGTGGGTACAGCTGGAGCATTGAGGGGGTCCCTGTGGCCTCTATCCTGGCCAGTGGTGGGCTATGAAGGGCCATTGTGCAGCTGGGGGTGGGTGGGCAGGGGCGGAATGTGACTGGGCACAGCAGATGGGCCATTGTTTGAGGGAATGCGCCGCGTGAGGCCTGACCTTTCCCTGTGGAGTGGGGGTTGGCGGGTTGGCATGCCAGCTGGGGGCTGGGAGGACAAGGCCAGAGTTGGGGGCTCGGAGGAGGGAGACAGGATCCATCCCCTTTTCCCCAGAAGGGCCTGTTGGGGGAGGTTTCCCGTCTCGCTGTGCAGTGTGACCTTGAACAAGGTCCCTGGCCTGTCTCAGGGCTTAGGGTTTTCTCTTTTTTTTTTTTTTTAATTATTTTTTATTGGAGTATAGTTGATTTACAATGTTGTGGGGTTAGGGTTTTCTGCGGTGAGGTGGAAAGTGAAGGTCTTAGCACAGGACTGGCAGAGTAACCACGCAATGCCCATTAGTTATTATCCGTATGAGCAGCTGGAGCTTTCAGACAAGTTCAAGTCCTGGCTGGGTCATTTGTGACCCAGGAAAGTGACTTTCCTTCTCCCAGCCTCAGGTGTCTTCTTTGTAACAAGCTCAGTAATTGTATTGACCTCACAGGGGTGTTCTGAAATCCACATGCAATGACCCACGTGGGATATTCGACACAAGATCAAGACCACAGGAAGTTCTTAGTGATAATCATAGTAAGTGCTTATAAAGTGCCCACCGTGTGCCTGGCACTGTCTATTTACAAAAACATTTGGCCCTCCTAACAGCCCTGAGAGGTAGGTGCCCTCATTCTCCCCATTTTATAGATGAGGAGACTGAGGCACAGAGACGTGAGGTGATTTGCCTACAGGGAGTACATGGCAGCGGATATAATGATTTTACAGTGAATTTGGCCCCCTCAGTCAGCTGAGGTGGTTGGCGTAGGGGCTCTGCTGTCAGAAAGGCCTAGGAGTCAGTTCTGGCTATACTGCTGTGTCACCTTGGATAAAGATCTTCTGAGCCCTAGTGCCCCCACCTGCACTATAGGGATAGAGTACTCTTTTTTTTTTTTTTTTTGGCCACACCATGCAGGATGCGGGATCTTAGTTCCCTGATCAGTGATCAAACCTGTGCCCCCTGCAGTGCAAGTGCGGAGTCCTAACCACTAGACTGCCAGGGAATTCCTGGGGATAGAGTATGGACAGAGTGTGGGAAGGGTCAGACACTCAGGAAGCAATCAGTGGGGTTAGCTGATAGTAATCCTCACGTTATTCTTCTTAGAGCCCCGGACCCAGGAGGCCCAAGGAGCTGGAGGTGACCCTGAGGTGAGCACTGGCTGGTGCCACATGCCCCTCCCTGCCCCTCCCTCATCTGTCTGGAGCCTCATGACCTGGTCTCTCCCTGGCAGGCAGCGAGACCCCAGAGGAAGGGCGCGAGCCCCGCAGACGACTGTGTACCACCCCAGGCTGGGCTCCTGTTAGGAGGGGGTGCTTGTTCCCAGGCAGCGGTAAGAGGACAGCTGGGATGGAGGGGGCCCTTCTCCCCTTCTCATACCCACCTTGACCTCTCCCTTTAAGCCCAGCCTTCTCTTATCCTCTCCTGGCCTCAAGCCTCCATCCCTGCCCCTGCAGGCTCAGAGGCAGCTGCTCCATGCAGAACTGAAACTGGTCCTGCAGCAGAAGGGAGAGAGGAAGCAGGAGCCTGGGGCCCAGGTGACTCCCAGCAGCGCCATGGAGGCCAGGAGCCAGAGTGCTGAGGTGAGCGCCCAACACATCCTGCAAGGGGGACTTGTGGGGCCTTGGTGGGAGGCACGGACTAGGGTAGCAAGAAGACACTTCCTGGCTTCTCTGTGCCTCAGTCTCCCCATCTGTGAAATGGAGATAGCTGCAGGGCCTATTTTATGGGTCACTGTGAAGGAAAAGAAAATTAACATTTGTAATGTGCTTAACACAGTACCTGGCACAGACTAAGATTCAAAGAAGCTAATTCATTGAGCATAATGGAATTATATTAACAATAATAAGCTTAAAAAAATAGAGTAGAAACCCTTCATCAGAAGAGGCAGGATGGTGTAGGGGTTAAAGACATGGGCTTTGGACCCATGGGCTTACATCCCAACCCTATCACTTCAGCTGTACAGCCCTGATCAGATGACCTGAACTTTCTAACCCTCAGTTTCCCCACCGGTGAAATGGGGCAATGGTTCCCAGCTCTGAGGGTGCTGAGCACTCACACTTGTGTCATTTGCCCAGGGCCTGGTATCTAGGAAGCCTCCTCGAATGTTAACGGCTTTCACTGTTATGGAGACAGGGCACTAGCACTGACTGCGTCCCATTGGATGCCAGGCACAGTGGGTCTCCTTTTACAGGAGTCAAGCTGAGGCTGAGGGGTGGCAGGCAGGGAGTAAAGTGCACGGAGGCCACTGCCTACAGGACTGCTTATGGGCTCTGAGGTCACAGACCTGAGGTTGAGGCCCCACCGCTTAACTTGCTGTGTGGCATTAGGCAGTCACTTCACTTCTCTGGACCTTTGTGTCCTACTCGGTGACTGCCCAAGCTGCGGGGAGGATGAAAGGAGATGCCACACATAAAATGCTTAGCCCAGGGCCTAAGGGTGGTGGTGATGGTCATGCTTTTCCCTGCTGCCTCTACCACAACTCTTCCTACCCCTTCTCACCATGCTCCGCCCAGCTCTCCAGTCCTGGGGCCACTGCTGTGGAGCATCTGGCCAGACCTGCTTTCCCCTCTCCAAGCCCTGGGCTCAACCCCAGTCTGTACCAGCCTCAATGCACTAACCACTACAGCAACCCCTCACATCTCTGTTGCTTCAGGTCTCAGCTCACAGTCAGAGACTCCTTCCAGTACACCCATGTTACCCAACTTTACAGTAGGGAAATGGGTCCAGAGAGGGCAAAGTCCCCCCCCCCACCCGCCCAAGACACACAGCAGATTTTGGTTCCTGGATGGTTGTGGAACTGAGGCCTTTCACTGTTTCTTCTGGGAAGCCCGGGTGCGGATCCCACAGTGCACTGCTGGGCCAGGGCCAGGGCCAGGTCAGCACCATTTACAGTAAATACCAGGAATACCACGTCTGCCAGCCCACCACTCATTACCCACGCACCCTTCTTCACTGGATTCCCTCTCCAATGAGCGTTATGCAGGGCTTGGGGTCATAGAGTCCACAATAGGGCACAGTCACACACATCAAGCCTTCAACGGGGCCAGTCCCACCTGCACCCCTCCATACCGCACCACTAAGGGTCGGCCCTTTCTTCGGTACCCCATCCTCCATCCCACCCCTGTTCTGTTGTTATTAAAGCCCCTCCCCATAGTTCAAGCCCGTCCACAGACTATGGGTCCCCTCCGCACCTCCACGGTTACACTGTAGCCGCACCCATCTATCTTTCGCCGCTCCTCTCAGGCAACCGTCCTCTCTCCGCAAATGCTCCAACCCTAGCCCCGCCCCTAACTGGCCAAGCCCCCGGGAGCACAGCCACGCCCTCATGTCAGGCCCGCCTCTCAGTCGCAACTCAGGTTCCTTCTGGCCTCCCCACCCCCCCGCCCCTCCTCTACAACACCGCCCCGCGCCCCGCCTCTCCCGATAGCGGTCTTTGGGGCTCCACCAGGCCTGTGAGCCTCGAGAGCCGTTGAACCCTTTCGCGGGGTCTCACTGAGCGAGCGGCCCTCGTGCTCACTTAAAGGGGAGATGCTGGAGAGGGTGGGCCCGCACAACCTGCCTGAGCCCCGCCGAGGCGCCTGTGCCCTGAGGACCCGGTTAAGAGCCGCTTTCAAGCTCAATGGCGGACTCTGGGCGAAGTCCCGCCCTAGCGCCCCATGGCGACCCCTCGCCGCCCTCCGCAGGAGCTGAGGCGGGCGGAGTTGGTGGAGATCATCGTGGAGACGGAGGCGCAGACCGGGGTCAGTGGCATCAACGTAGCCGGCGGCGGCAAGGAGGGAATCTTCGTCCGCGAGCTGCGTGAGGACTCACCTGCGGCCAGGAGCCTCAGCCTGCAGGAAGGTGAGTGGGGCGGGGACATGGGGCGGGGCTTTCCTGCGGGGGCGGGGTTGGGAAGCTGCCCTGGGTACGGGGACCAGGAGGCGGGGTTAAGGGCTAGGGGCGGGGCTTTGTGTTACCTATCGGCTTTGCGGTTGATCCGAGCAGGAGCTCTGGAGGTTCATTGTCTCGATTGGACTCCCAGATGTGCAGTTTACTATCTTGTAATCTTTCTGTGCCTCGGTTTTTACACCTCTAAAATGGGACTAATCCTAGTGCTTATCTCATAGGGTTATTATGTGGATTAAATGTTTGAAAACACAGCACGTAGCTAAGTGGCACATGGTAAGCACTAAGTAAGTGCTAGTTATTGTTTTGTTGTTGAGGCTGAAGAAAAGAGGCGGAGTTAACAACTTGGAGGGGGTGGGGAGGGGAGCTTAGTAAGGGATATTTTAGGTAACATGGCTGAGGCTGATGCGATTTATTCATGCAACAACTATTTACTAAGTGCCTTCTATTTCCAGATATTATTCTGGGTGCTTGGGCTACTGCAGTGAACAAAACAGATAACACTCTCTGCACTTATGGAGCTTACGTTCTAGTAAGGAGAGACATATTTAAGCAAAATATGTAAAATACACAGTAAATTAGAAGGCGATATATGCTTACGGATGCCAGGACGGAAGCTGCATTTTTAAAAATTAATTAATTAATTAATTTATGGCTGCGTTGGGTCTTCATTGCTGCTCCCGGGCTTTCTCTAGTTGCGGCGATTGGGGGCTGCTCTTTGTAGTGGTGGGGCGGGCTTCTCATTGCAGTGGCTTCTCTTGTTGCAGAGCACAGGCTCTAGGCGCGTGGGCTTCAGTAGTTGTGGCGCGTGGGCTCAGTAGTTGTGGCTCACGGACTCTAGAGCGCAGGCTCAGTAGTTGTGGCGCACGGGCTTAGTTGCTCTGCGGCATGTGGGATCTTCCCGGACCAGGGCTCGAACCCGTGTCCCCTGCATTGGCAGGCGGATTCTTAACCACTGTGCCACCGGGGAAGTCCCAGAAACTGCATTTTTTTAAAATAGAGTGAGCCAGGAAGAGCAGAAAGGCCTGAAGAAGGTAAGGGAATGAGCTATGTGGCCATCTGGAGGAGCATTCCAGGCAGAGAGAACAGCCAGTGCAAATGCCCCAAGATGGGAGCATGCCTGGCTTGTTGGAGGAACAGCAAGGAAGCCAGGGTGGATGGAGTGGAGTTAGTGAAGAGTAGAGTAAGAGATGAGGCCAGAGAGGTAAGAGAAATGGTAGTTTTTAGAGAGTTTTATAGGCCATGGGGAAGACTTTGACTTTTAATCTGGAAGGTTTGTGAGTTGAAGAAAGAACGTGAATTGACTGTGTTGAAATGCTGTGTTAGCAGTAGACTGGGGGTGGTGGGGGGCAGGATGGGGAGCGGGAAAAGAGGCTACTGTGATTTTCCAGGTAAGAGATTGGTGATGCTTGGGGCCAAAAGAGTGTTATTGGAGATGAAGAGAAGGGTTTGGATTCTGGATATCATTTGGGTCTCAAGCAGGGGTTCAAGCAGATGAAGTCTGGGACTTGACCGTTGGACTTAACTACACAGAGGTCACTGCATAGCATCTTGAGAGGAGCAGTTCAAGGCTCTGGGAAGCGGGTGTCAAAAGTGTAATCAGAGAGGTGGAAATAATGCAGCTAGAAAACCCAATGAATTTTGCCATCAAGGCGAAGCGCCTTCAGGACTGGATATGGGGTGGGTTGGAAAGAGAGGGATCAAGGATGTGTCCAGGGATTCTTGACCTGAGAATGGAGTTGGTAGTCCCACAAATGGGGAACACTGGGGCTGGAGCTTGTTTGCAGGAAAACCAGGAATATAATTTGGATCTGTCAGATGAGAGGTGGATCCCAAGGTGGAGATGTGGAGGGTTAGTTGGATATTTGAGTCTAGGATGGAGCGGGGAGTGCTAGGCTGGAGAGATACACTTGGGAGTCAGCATATTTATGCTCTTTAAACTCCTGAATCTGGATGAGCTTCCCAAAGGGATGAGTGTAGCATGTAGATGGACCAGAGTAGAGGTCCAAGGCCTGAGCTCTGGGACTGTGTGTCTTTAAGAGGTCTGGGAGATGGGGAGGAACCATCCCAGGAGGCTGAGAAGGAACCTCGAGGGAGGTTCCAGAAGATGTGGCACCCTGGAAGCCAAGCCGAGGAGAGTGAAGCTGCATCTCAAGCAGGGGTTCAAGCAGAGATGAAGTCTGGGACTTGACCGTTGGACTTAACTACACAGAGGTCACTGCATGGGACCTTGAGAGGAGCAGTTCAAGGCTCTGGGAGGGAGGATGTAAAAAGTGTAATTGGAGAACTGGAAATAATGCAGCTAGACAACTTAATGAATTTTGCCATCAAGCTGAACGGATAAATGGGGCAGGAGCTCCAGAAGGAGTGAGGTCAAGACAGCCTTTCTTATGGGAGAAAGAATGGTATGTTGCATGCTGATGGGAATAATGTAGACGAGAAGGACAAATTGATAACGTGGGGAGAGAGGGGAGAATTCCTGGAGTGTGTCCCTGAAAAGGTGGTGGAGGGATTGACCAGAGCTAGGAGTGGGGATGGTTTATCAAATTGATAACGTGGGGAGAGAGTGGAGAAAATCGCCACAGGACCAGAGGGTTGAATAATGGGGCGGGAGCTTCTGGAAGTTCTCTTCTGATTCTGTTCTCTCAGTAAAAGAAGCAAAGTTAGTGTCTGAAGTGTGAGGATGGGGGAGGGGAGTAGAAAGGGGAGGGGTGTGACCTGAATGGGCTTGGATTTGCTCAGTGAGGGAGACGGGGCTAAGGCCGAGGCCGTGGCTTTGTCCTTAAGTGTCAGAACCTCAAACCAGGAGGAACTCTGCGTCTCAATCTTGCGCTCGGGTATAGGCGGGGCCAAAAATTTGGGAGGCGCCTCGCTGCACAGGCTCCAGAGAGGTGGGCGGAACCAGGCCTGGGCGGAGCCGAGAGATGCCCACGCCCCGCCCACCTCCACCTGGCCTGCAGGGGACCAGCTGCTGAGCGCCCGAGTGTTCTTCGAGAACTTCAAGTACGAGGACGCACTACGCCTGCTGCAATGCGCCGAGCCTTACAAGGTCTCCTTCTGCCTGAAGCGCACTGTGCCCACCGGGGACCTGGCGCTGCGGCCTGGGACCGCGGCCGGCTACGAGATCAAGGGCCCGCGGGCCAAGGTGGCCAAGCTGGTACGCGTGCTTAGCCCGGTTACGGCCCTGGACTGCCCCAGCGATCCTGTCTCTGCGCCGTGAGCCCCACTGCCCCACACTGGTGGGCCAGCCTTGCCCTCTGTCTTGTCACTAACCCAGCGCTAATCCCATCCTCTGCCTCCTGTTCTCTGCCCCTAAACTCCTCCCTGGGGAGGGGGACCCACCCATCCCAAGCCAGGACCCTCACCCACCTTGTCAGGCGTCCTGAACCAGGGCGCTCTGAACCAGAGGCCAGGTTCAAGCCTGAGGGCAGCTCATTTACTGCTGAGTGACCCTTGACAACTTTCTTTCCCTCCTTGGGCCTCAGTTTCCCCATCTCTAGAGTGAGGGTTTGGGGGAAAATCCTGGAGGAGGAGCCAGAAGTCTTGGGTCACAGTTTCTACACTCCTGTTGATTCACTGTAAGATTCTAAACAAAGTCTTTGCCTTCTGGGGCAGTAAGGGTGGAATGACAGGCAGGAAGTGGGGATGGTGTTTTGGGGACAAGATGCTCAATCCAGCACATCCCCAGCCTGGTAAAATAACCACATGGGGCTCCCCCTGTCCACCCCAGGCCTCCCACTGTCCCACCGCCTCCTGCCTCTCTCCTCTCTCCCCAGAACATCCAGAGTCTGTCCCCTGTGAAGGAGAAGAAGATGGTGGTGCCTGGGGCCCTGGGGGGCCCTGCAGACCTGGGCCCTGTCGACGTCGAATTCTCCTTCCCCAAGTTCTCCCGTCTGCGCCGAGGTCTCAAAGTCGAGGCTGTCAAAGGTCCCGTCCCAGCTGCCCCCACCCGCCGGCGCCTCCAGCTGCCTCGGCTGCGTGTCCGAGAAGTGGCCGAAGAGGCCCAGGTAGCCCGACTGGCCGCTGCAGCTCCTCCCCCGAGGAAGGCCAAAGCAGAGGCCGAGGTGGCTGCAGGAGCCCGATTCACAGCTCCCCAGGTGGAGCTGGTTGGGCCTCGGCTGCCGGGTGCTGAGGTGGGTGTCCTCCAGGTCACAGCCCCCAAGGGGGAGGTGGCCCCTGCAGCAGAGGTAGTCAGCAGCTTTGCCCTCCGCTTGCCAGCCCTTGGGCTGGGAGCCCCAGCTGCACCTGCTGTGGAGCCTGCGGCTGGAGGGACCCAGGTCCCACGAGTGGAGCTGCCCACCTTGCCCTCGCTACCCACTCTGCCCACACTTCCCTGCCTGGAGACCCGGGAAGGGGCTGCGGCAGTGACGGTGCCCACCCTGGACGTGGCAGCGCCTACAGTGGAGGTGGACCTGGCCTTGCCTGGTGCAGAGGTGGAAGCCCGAGTAGAGGCGCCTGAGGTGGCCCTGAAGATGCCCCGCCTCAGTTTCCCCCGCTTTGGGGCTCGAGCAAAAGAAGTTGCTGAGGCCAATGTGGCCAAGGGCAGCCCTGAGGCCAGGGTGAAGGGGCCCAAACTTCGAATGCCCAGCTTTGGGCTTTCTCTCCTGGAGCCCCGGCCCGCTGCCCCTGAAGCCATTGAGAGCAAGCTGAAGCTGCCCACCGTCAAGATGCCCTCCTTTGGCATCGGCGTCTCGCCGCCTGAGGTCAAGGTGCCCAAGGGGCCTGAGGGGAAGCTCCCCAAGGCCCCAGACGCCAAGCTCCCCAAAGTGTCCGAGGCAGCCCTTCCAGATGTGCGACTCCCAGAGGTGGAGCTCCCCAAAGTGTCAGAGATGAAACTCCCAAAGGTGCCGGAGATGGCCGTGCCAGAGGTGAGGCTTCCAGAGGTGCAGCTGCCGAAAGTCCCTGAGGTGAAACTCCCAAAGGTGCCTGAGATGGCCGTGCCAGAAGTGCAGCTCCCAGAAGTGCAGCTCCCGAAAGTTCCAGAGCTGAAGCTGCCAAAGGTACCCGAGATGAGATGCCCCGAAATGAAACTCCCGAAGGTGCCCGAGATGGCTGTGCCAGAGGTGCGACTCCCAGAGGTACAGCTGCCAAAAGTCTCAGAGATAAAACTCCCCAAGTTGCCCGAGATGGTCGTGCCGGACGTGCACCTCCCGGAAGTGCAGCTGCCAAAAGTCTCAGAGATGAAAGTCCCCGATGTGAAACTCCCCGAGATGAAGCTCCCGAAGGTGCCCGAGATGGCTGTGCCAGAGGTGCGACTCCCGGAGGTGCAGCTGCCAAAAGTCTCAGAGATAAAACTCCCCAAGTTGCCCGAGATAGTCGTGCCGGACGTGCACCTCCCGGAAGTGCAGCTGCCAAAGGTGTCGGAGATGCGGCTGCCGGAAGTGGAGGCGCCAAAGGTCCCAGATGTGCATCTGCCGAAGGCATCTGAGGTGAAGCTGCCCAAGGCTCCAGAGGTGCAGCTAAAAGCTGCCAGGGCAGAGGAAGCAGAGGGAGTGGAATCTGGCTTCAGGATGTCCAAGATGACCATGCCCAAGCTAGGGAGGGCAGAGTCCCCATCTCGAGGCAAGCCAGATGAGGCTAGTGCTGAGGTCTTGGGGAAGCTGGTGACACTTCCCTGTCTGAAGCCAGAGATGGGCAGCGAGGCTCGTGTGGGTGTCCCCCCTCTCACACTGCCCTCAGTGGAACTAGACCTGCCCGGGGCCTTCGGCCTGGAGGGGCAGGTCCCAGCAGCAGACATGGGCAAGGTGGAGCAGTCAGAAGCCCCTGGGGTGGTAGCAGGGGTCGGGGAAATGGCCTTCTGGTTGCCCTCCGTTGAGATTGTCACGCCACAGCTGCCCACAGTGGAGGTTGAGGAAGGGCAAGTAGAGGTGACGGAGGTGAAAGTCAAGCCTTCCTCCAAGTTCTCCCTGCCCAAGTTTGGACTCTCGGGGCCAAAGGTGACCAAGGCAGAGGCTGAGGGGGCTGGACGAGCCGCCAAGCTAAAGGTGTCCAAGTTTGCCATCTCACTCCCCAAGGCTCGGGTGGGCACCGAGGCGGAGGCCAGAGGGACGGGGGAGGCAGGCCTGCTGCCCACCCTCGATCTGTCCATCCCACAGCTCAGCCTGGATTCCCATCTGCCCACAGGCAAGGTGGAGGCGGCAGGGACTGATGCCAAGCTCAAGGGGCCCAGGTTCAGCCTGCCCAAGTTTGGGGTCAGAGGCCGGGACAGCGAGGCAGGAGAGCTAGTGCCAGGGGCGACTGAGTTGGAGGGCAAGAGCAGGGGTTGGGATGCGAGGGTGAAGATGCCCAAGCTGAAGATGCCCTCCTTTGGGCTGGCTCGAGGGAAGGAAGCAGAAATCCAGGGGGGGCGAGTCAGCCCTGGGGAAAAGCCAGAGTCCACGGCTGTGCAGCTTAAGATCCCTGAGGTGGAATTGGTCACTCTGGGGGCCCAGGAGGAAGGGCGAATGTCCGCAACCAGGCAGGTGGGCACTGAGGGCCAGGATGGGCGGCCGAGGGTGCCGCTGTGCATCTCTCTGCCCCAGGTGGAGCTGCCCAGCTTTGGGGAGGCCGACCTGGGTGCCACCCCCGGGCAGCAGGCCAAGAATGCACCTCCTCCAGCAGAGGGCACACCAGACTATAGGATCCACGTGCCTCAGGTGACCTTGTCTCTACCTGGAGCCCAGGTGGTGGGTGGTGAGCTGCTCGTGGCTGAGCGTGTCTTCAAGATGCCCGCTGTGACAGTGCCCCAGCTTGAGCTGGATGTGGGGCTGAGCCGAGAGGTGCAGGTGGGTGAGGCAGCCACAGGTGAGGGCGGGCTGAGGCTGAAGATGCCCACGCTGGGGGCTAGAGATGCGGCGGGGGGTGAGGGGCCTAGGGACCAGCCCCCAGGGGCCGAGTGCACCTTCCACCTCTCGCTGCCTGACGTGGAGCTCTCCCCGCCCGCTGTGGGCAGCCATGCTGAATACCAGGTGTCCGAGGGCGAGGGGGATGCCGGACACAAGCTCAAGGTGCGGCTGCCCCGGTTCGGCCTGGCACGGGCCAAGGAGGGGGTTGAGGAGTCCGAGAAGGCCAAGAACCCAAAACTCAGGCTGCCCCGCGTGGGCTTCAGCCAGAGCGAGGCGGCCGGTGGGGAAGGCTCCCCCAGCCCCGAGGACGAGGAAGAGGAGGGCTGCGGGGAAGGGGCCTCCGGGCGCCGAGGCCGCGTCCGAGTCCGCTTGCCCCGTGTGGGCCTGGCTACCCCTTCCAAGGCCCCTCGGGGGCAGGAGGGCGAGGCGGCCCCCAAGTCACCTGGAGGGGAGAAGTCACCCAAGTTCCGCTTCCCCCGGGTGTCCCTAAGCCCCAAGGCCCAGGAGGAAGGTGGATTCCGGGTCCGGCTGCCCAACGTGGGGTTTTCGGAGACGGGGCCTCCAGGCCCCACGAGGATGGAGGGGGCTCAGGCTGCCGTCATCTGAAACCCCTCAGCAGAGGGAGACTCCCCTTCCGTCTTCCCATCCCCCTCCTCGTTTTGTGTGTGAGATAACTAGCACTAACCCTCAGAAGGCTGGGAGGCGGGCGACTGACCGGGTCAGGGCAGTGGAGTCCGTGCCTGGCTCTTTGGCAGGAGTGCCCGTATCTTGCCAAGCCATGTGAATAAAATAATCCAGAGGTAGCTTTGTGTCAGGTCTCCTCTGTGTGTGTGTTTGTTGGGGGGTGGGGTGCGGGTGCAGAGAAAGGAGTCCCTTGAGGATGGCCTGAAACGATGCTTTGTGCAGTGAGACAGGCCACCCCTGGTCTGAGGAGACTCATGGAGGCCTTGGGGTGGGCCTGGTGGGAGGGGGCTGTCCTAGCCCTTCAGAATTCCCAGGGGCCTCTGAGCTGGGGAAGTTCCCCAGCAGAACCCAGCTGCGGGACCCCTCAGCGGGAGACTCTGCCTGTGCTGCGGGACCCACTCCTGCCAGGACAACCCCAGGGCCTCCACCCCAGGCACCCGGCTGCCCTCTTAGGACTAAGTCCCAGGGTCCTCAGCTCCTACTGGGGCTGGACCTCAGCCTCCAGGGACCCATCTCCACTCAGGATCCAAGTCCCTAAGCCGCCTCCAGGGTCCCCAGGCTCCCCCATTTCTCTCTGAGATGCCCTAGACAAGCTGTCTAGTCCCGAATCTCCCCCTGGTGCCACTATAGCCACTCCTCCACTCTCTTCATATCTCCGCCCTCCCATTCTAGAGGAAGGAGGGCTATAGAGCAGGGCTTGAGTTGCCCCAAACTCCCCACTTGGCTTCCTTCAAGCCGACCCCACCTTGGGTCACTCACTACCCATCACGTGCTTCCTCTTCATGCGTACCAAACATGGCAGGAGTTACCTACGTTCCTGGTGCGCACCCTCTGCCCAGGCCCCCAGCATTTGGGGTTTTCCTCCTCTCAGTGGCCTGTCTGTGGCCACGCTCAGGGCCTCTTCTGTCTCCCGTGTCCTGACTTCTCAGGGCTCCTTCCTCCTTCCTGAGCGCTCTCTTCTCTCTCTCTCTCCCGCACTCCTCTCTCTCCTCCTGTCCCTTGGGCCCTCAGGGCTCCTCCCAGGCCCTCAGCCATCCCCACACCCTCCCTGGGCCTTGTCGCCCTCCCCTCTGCTTCAACTCCTCACCTCTGTGCTGATAATTCCCCAAATCTCTCCTGGGTCCACACAGGCCTCCAGTGCACATCTGCATCTCCGCACACCCCCCTGACGTCTCCTGGACACTAGGAGGTGTGTCCAGTGGTTCAGAGCTTGGCTCTCAAGCCAGACTGCTCAGGGTCAAAGCCTGCCTCTGGCACCCACCTGGGTGACCTTAGGCATTTTAAAATTTTCTTTTGGCCTCTACTTTCTCTCCCATAAAATAGAGGTATTGAGATGTATATTGTAAGGATCAGACAAGGCTTCTAAAGCACTCAGAACGGGGAATTCCCTGGTGGTGGTCCAGGGATTAGGACTCTGTGCTCTCACTGCTGGGGGCCCGGATTCAATCCTGGTCGGGGAACTAAGATCCCACAAACCGCATGGCCAAAAAAATAAATAAAAATTAAAAAAAAAACAAAACTGGGCTTCCCTGGTGGCGCAGTGGTTGAGAGTCCACCTGCTGATGCAGGGGACGTGGGTTTGTGCCCCGGTCTGGGAAGGTCCCACATGCCACGGAGCGGCTGGGCCCGTGAGCCATGGCCGCTGAGCCTGCGCGTCCGGAGCCTGTGCTCCGCAACGGGAGAGGCCACAACAGTGAGAGGCCAGTGTACCGCAAAAAAAAAAAAAAAAACAACAACCCAACAACACTCAATATCCTTTTAAATGTTTTAATGTTAAATTTCCTAACGTCCTCTCTGCCAAACTGCTCCCGGTCCATGTCCCATCCCTCTCAAGGCCAGAGCCCTGCGTGGCTCCCTCCTTCCCCCAAACCTGGCCTCCTGTGTGTCTCATCCATCTGCCCCTTTCCCCACCTCCCCAGCCTCTCCCACCTGGGCCCTGCTGCAGGCTGGGGCCCTCCACTCTTGCCCCCTCCAGTCCACTCTTCTGCACACAGTAGCTTTCTGATACTCAGATCTGACCCTGGGGAGTTCCCTGGTGGCCTAGTGGTTAGGATTCGGCTCTGTCACTGCTGTGGCCCGGGTTCGATTCCTGGTTGGGGGACTGAGAAACTGCAAGGCGCGTGGCGCAGCTAAAATTTAAATAAATAAATAAATAAATAAATAAATATCTGAACCTGACCTTCCTTGTTCGAAGTCCTTCCGTGGCTCCCCAGTGCCCTCAGGACAAAGTCCAGACTCCTTAGCCTGGCATTCAAGACCCTTTGCAACAAGGCCCCCCTTTAGCCACGCCTCCCCAGGGCAGCCACAGGCAGGGGCAGCTGTTTTCTGAACACAGACGCACACACAAATCCCCTAGCTCGGGAAGCCTGCCGTTCCTCACCTCTGTTTAGGAATGTCCCATTCCTCTATGCCCGAGGCCCACGATCAGACTCCCCTCTCCGTCGACCCTTCTCCTGTCCAGCCCCTCTAGGGTTCCACCACTGGACGGGGGAGGGGGCATTACCTGCCACCCAACCCCCCCCATTCTAGCCAGGGGCTCAGGTCTCCAACAACAGAACCAGAGCCACTTAGCAACACTGGAACCCATTCAGGGGGGTTTGGGGCCCCTCATCCCAAGCCAGGAGATCTTCGGGGTAGGGGTGCACCCCCTGGCAGACTTGCTCTGCGGTCCAGGTGTCTGGGGGTTGTCAGGGAGGTGGGGGTGAACCTCGCAGGGCGAGGCACGAGTGCGGTTCTCTTTCCCCCACTGGGGAGGCCTCGGGGCCAGCGTCGGGGCGGGAGGCCTCGGAAGCAGAGCCCGTGGGGCGGAGGTGGCGGCAGGGCAGTGTCTGGTGGCAGAGGCACCATGGCCACCATCCAGTCGGAGACTGACTGCTATGACATCATCGAGGTGCTGGGCAAGGGCACCTTCGGGGAGGTGGCCAAGGGCTGGCGACGAAGCACGGGCGAGATGGTGGCCATCAAGATCCTGAAGAACGATGCTTACCGCAACCGTATCATCAAGAACGAGCTGAAGCTGCTGCGTTGCATGAGGGGCCTGGACCCGGAGGAGGCCCACGTCATCCGCTTCCTCGAGTTCTTCCACGACGCCCTCAAGTTCTACCTGGTCTTTGAACTGCTGGAGCAAAACCTTTTCGAATTCCAGAAGGAAAACAACTTTGCGCCCCTCCCCGCCCGCCACATCCGCACGGTCACCCTGCAGGTGCTCAGAGCCCTGGCCCGGCTCAAGGAGCTAGCCATCATCCACGCCGACCTCAAGCCTGAGAACATCATGCTGGTGGACCAGACTCGCTGCCCCTTCAGGGTCAAGGTGAGCATGGCCATCCAGCCCTGGACGCTCTCCTGAGGCTGAGGTTCCCCTTGTCCCACCTCCCAACCCTGAGGTCTCTCCCTCCCTGGCCATGATGGCGCTCCCCACCTCCTCGCTCTGAAATCCCCGTCTCCCCATCCCAATTCTGACATCCTCTCCCGCTCAGCCCTGAGGTCCCCCCGTCCTTGTTCAATTCTTAGCTCAGCTCCTCTGGCCCAGTCCTGTCCTTGTGGGGCTGACATTCTAGTGGGGGAGATAGAGTCGCCAAGGTAAACGAGTAAAATATGGTAGGGTTTCCCTGGCGCAGTGGTTGACAGTCCGCCTGCCAATGCAGGGGACATGGGTTCGTGTCCCGGTCCAGGAAGATCCCACATGCCGCGGAGCATCTAGGCCCTCATGAGCAATGGCCGCTGAGCCTGCGCGTCCGGAGCCTGTGATCCGCAACGGGAGAGGCCACAACAGTGAGAGGCCCGCGTACCGCAAAAAAAAAAAAAAAAAAAAAAAAAAAAAGTATATGAGTGAGAAGGAGACAAGATAAAGTAGGGAGGAGGAGGAGGTGGGATGGTGATGAGTAAAACTTTAGACTCTGTGGCCAGGGAGGCCTCCCTGAGAAGGTCACATTTGAGGGAAGTCTTGAAGGAGGGAGGGAGCTGTGTCGACATCTGGGAGAAAGTATCAGTGGAAAGGCCCTGAGGTAGGAGTGGACCAAGTATGTGTATTTTAGGAGCACTGAGGAAACCAGTGTGACTGAAACAGAGTGACTGAGGGGAAGATGGAGGAAATAAGATCAGGAAGGTGATGGGGCCTGGTCGTACAGGGCCTTGTGGGCCACAGAGGGGACTTGGGCTTTATTCTGTGTAAGATGGAGCCATAGGAGGATCCTGGGCAGAGGAGGGCTGTGATTGGACACAGGTGTTCACAGGCTCCCTCTGGCTGCAGCGGGGGGAAAGACTGAGGGGACAGGAGCAGGAAGACAGTGCGGGGTGACCGCCTCAGTCCAGGTGGGGGATGGGGGTGGGTTTGGGGTAGATCTTTTTTTTTTTCTTTTTTTTGGCCACAAGGCGAGGCTTGTGGGATCTTAGTTCCCTGACCAGGGATTGAACCTTGGCCCCGGCAGTGAAAGTGCTGAGTCCTAACCACTGGACTGCAAGGGGATTCCCTCAGGGTAGATTTTAAAACAGGACTTGCTGGTAAATCTTATGTGAAGTGTGAGAGAGGAAGAGAGGGCTCGAGGGAGGATGAAAGCCTGTTGGCCTGAGCGACTGGAAGGATGGCAGCAGCGTCCTTCATCGTGAGTTTGTTCATCAGCAAACATTTTCCAAATGCCTGCTCTGGGCCTGACCCTGTGCTGGGCACACAGGCACCTCCTCTGTGCTGTCACGGGTCTCTGGATTCCCCCATCCCGGCTCTGACCCCTCTGACTGCTTATGGGTTTGTTTCTGTCTGGTGATGGTTCTGAACTAGGAGCATCGTGAGGGCGGAGCCAGGGGCATTTTGGTCACCACCGTGTCCCCGGCATCTCCCAGCACAGCGCCTTCATGGAGTCAGTGCTAAATGAATGTCAGAGACACAGGGAGATACAGAGACAGGAAAAGCAGATCATTCTGTCCCA